TGTCAGACACTTTAAATGCCTTTTAAAAGGAACCCCGACTCTTTGAAACGTTAGACATTGTTCAATAAACATAAACACTAACCTATAAACACTAAACATCCTACAGTATTTTTAGTCTTTATCATACAGTTGAAGTAAATGTTGATCAAATAATGTTTAATGTAAAAAAAAATAGTTGGGGTTCCCTTTAAGAGATTCATGCAAATGCTACCTTTTACACATTTACTCAGCTGTCAGATTCACATTGCACTGTTATTCCAGCAGAAATATRATGCTGGAAGTGCACTGGAAATGCTYCAGCTGGTATCTGCTATTTGCACTAGAATTTTATGCAGCGTAAACCATGAACCTCATATGTGAAATCGATGGGAAAAAAATATTTTAAGATATTAACAATCCCTTTTGCTCTTAGCACCTCATATGGTTCTCTATAATAAATGTACACATACATGCACGCACTACCGGAGCTGATAAAACTATATAAATTTTGTATGTGTRTTTATTAATCTGACAGGCTACCTGCTTGCAGTCCGAAGAGGAGGGAAGGAAACTGTGAGGAAGAGGTGTCTCCGAAGTAAACCCTGAGACCGTGTCTTGGTCACTGCTTCCTCTGCCAAAGGACATTTTACTCCCCATYTCACAAATCTGTGGAATAAACAACAACAAGGAGGCTGTAACATATTCGAAAAGAGGATTAAGCCAAATTTGGTCGAAATMACCTAATTACATTTTCATACGTTGGGCTTTAAATGCTATATTCTGATACCTGCTTCATTATGATATCATAAGTAAATCCATAAATATGACTTAATTTGTGTTGTTGGTTACGATAATACATAAATATTTGATCTGAATCCTAATTTTATGTAATTTTAATGAGGAGATTTTGATGTCCTTATAAAGAGGAAACCTCAAATTATATTTGAATATTGAGATTTCCCAGTTGAAATGAAACAAAACTTTGCTAGCTCACAGGGAAAATCTCAAAACTTTAAGGCATTTTTCCTCAAACTCAGGTTTTGTTGCTACTGCTCAAAAAAAGCTTCAAAATTTAGTTTTATGATTATATTTCAGATAGTTTGTTCAAATGATACATTGATAAGGCATTTTTTTCGTTATGTTTTGACAAAATGCATTTTTTTGCAAAGATTTTAATCAAAACACTYCTGTATATTTGCCTTTTTTCTCCTTAAACCACTTTTAGACTTAATCCTCGTTTCGATGTGATGGGTCACATACATAAACAATGTTTACAAAATCCTTTCAGTCTTGCATTATAACGCTGTAACGTAAGATGCACAACACCAGATTGTACGTGTTTTATAAAAGTAGTACTAAGAATCAAAAAGAAAAAAATTGTATAGGTCTTCTGGACGGGTTCTTCTCTAATGAAACGTTTCGTCTCCTCTCCAAGAGACTTCTTCAGTCTGAGAGTTTCAGGCAAAATTCAGGCTTTCCTGAAAGCAGACAGGAAACACAGACAGGATTCCATGCAACCTTCAGGTGAAAATGAAGACCTCAAACCCAGACCCAAACCAGTGGTTATTCCGTATGTTGCGGGTGTTTTGGAGAAACTGAGACGTTTATTTTCTAAACATGATGTCCCAGTGGCTTTCAAACCCCAAAACACATTACGGCAAAGGCTGGTTCACCCCAAAGATCCGGTGCCCCGGCACAAACAGAGCAATGTTGTATATGCTGTTAAGTGCCAGGAGGACTGCGACCAGTTATACATCGGGGAAACAAAGCAGCCACTGTTCAAAAGAATGTCCCAACACAGACGAGCTACATCTAATGGCCAGAACTCTGCAGTTTTCACTCATTTACAGGCCAGCGGTCACTCTTTCAGAGATGAGGATGTTCTCATTCTTGATAGAGAGGAACGTTGGTTTGAGAGAGGAGTAAAAGAAGCCATTTTTGTGAAGAAAGACCGTCCATCATTAAACAGAGGTGGAGGCCTCCGTTTTCAGTTGTCCCCCTCCTGCAGTGCTGCTATTGCCAATATCACTCCACCCCCTGTTAACAATAGGTGTTAATTAGGTGTCAACGATAGCCATGTGATGTGAGTATCAGTCACATGGAGGCAGGGCTTAAAAGCCTGAATTTTGCCTGAAACTCTCAGACTGAAGAAGTCTCTTGGAGGAGAGAAACGTTTCATTAGAGAAGAACCCGTCCAGAGGACCTACACAGTTTTTTCTTTTTGATTTTTTACCTGGATTACTGAGATGCATCAGGACGTACTAGGAATCAGCTGCAGGGATAAAGTGAATTCCAGCCCGCATCCAGAACCGAGGCTCACAAAACGCAGAGCACGTGAACGCCTCCCTTGACCGTACGAGTCAAAGTTATGACACGTGAAAGCACCACTTCATGTTTGTAAAAAACAAATGCAAAATATCAGTTTTTTTTAGGACACAATATGGTGTGTAATACAACAAACCCACCTCAGTTCGTCCAGATCAACGAGTTGCAGCTACTCCACTGCTGACACGTGGGATTTCTGGTGATGAAAAAAAAAAACAAACAAAAAAACAAAACAAAACACGAGCAGGTGGCTGTTGTGTCCTGTCAGGGAGCGACTTCCCCTCCTCAGCATCCAGCTGCTAGTTATGATAAAACGCTTGATGACTAATGAGGCGTTTCCGATGGAAGGCCAGATAGCTAGCTTCACCTATTTTTAACGCACCAAACTATTACCTGCTGCTCAGGTATTAGCAGGAAGGCGCGTATAAATCATTCCCTAACATCGGCTGAATGTGGTGGATAACACAAAAGTAAAATCGTTTGCGTGGGGGAGTTCCTGCGCTGCATGCAGTGACCGTTCCTCTGCTAGCTTAGTTAGCACTAGCTAACTTACACCTCACTATGTTGCTCCGTAGCCTTTTTTTTTTTTTTTTAACTTTTACAGGGGAACAAAGACCTGACAACCGAGCTGCTAATGAGGACCAGGCTTTATCTTCTTTTCGAAGCCGTTTTCTGTGTTGGGGAAACTCGGTATCCGCGCACAAAGCAGCCATACAGTTGTCAAACCACACAGTTCGAGTTAACGGGGCGGATACTTCAGGTTGTGTCGGAAATACCACAACCGTATCGTTATTATTTTGGATGAGCTGCAAAACCAAACAAACAAAACCACAAATTTAGAATTTATAAAAACATGTCCGTTTCAAACGTGCTATGCAGTCCTCTGGGGAGGAAGAAAAGTAATTTGCTTTTAGTTTTGCGGAAGAAAAGTCTTAACTTTCTTTAACTAAATGACTCAAACTCAACTTTTACCTCAAAAACGCAGTTTTATTTAAAGATAAGTTTAAAATGTACTAAAATGTCCCTGGAGCTTTTTGAAACAAGCCATTAGGTCCTTAAAACTGCAATCAGTCAATCAATCAATCAATCAATCAATCAATCAATCAATCAATCAATCAATCACTCAATCAATCAATCAATCAATCAATCAATCAATCAATCAATCAATCAATCAATCAATCAATCAATCAAGTCTAAAACCCAAGGCTGATCTTTACAAAGGACTTATACCCCGGCATTAGCCCAGCACCATTACTATTTTCACTGATTTGATATATTTTTCCCCTAAAATGCTTTTTTAAACCATTTAATTTTTGTCTATTTGGGTTTAGTTTAGTTTTCTCTTTTTTACCCTTAGAAATGTCTTTTTCAAGTTAAAATCAATGAAGTACAAATAGTTTTACTAAATGATTTWGTGTAATCTGTCTCTGTTGATATTTCTTTATGATTTGGGYTGGGTGTACCAAGRTGAGTATCGATTARTCTGTTTACATTTTATTTGCACTACTGACTTTATTTTTCTTAAATAAAGTCTTGCAGAGTATCTAAATTGATACCAGTCAGTTCTCTACGTTGTGCATGTGTACTGGAAGCTTTTGTAATCGTTATTGACATTGTTATATTAATATTTTTTGGTACAGTTTCTTCTTTTTTTGTCATTTTGTGCTAACGATTTATGAAGAAATATTGCCACAAGTGTCTTTAAGTGTAAGGGCAACCAACGAAACTTTTTTCATGTCCTTTGTTGTTCTTGAATCGGGTTCAGTCCAACAGCATTTGAACGTCTCATGAACGCATCTAGATGACGCTTCGGGGACGTTTACGTCATCACTAATGGACCTACTCCCATAATTTACAACGGACTCCCTCTGCTGGAGTGGTTTGAAGTAGAAGCTGGAAARTAAAACCTTAAAAACAGACTTAAACCAGGGCTGTGCAAATGTTTTAAACCTCCTAAAATTTCTATCATGTTGCTTTTAAGATGTCAATTTTATTAAAGTTCTTTCAGTTTTTAGCTTTTATTTGGTCCAGTAGTCCTTGTGCTTCACCATATTGTCAAACTGTTTTGTTTTTACACATATTTAACAAAAAAAAATTTTTTTGTAACCCTGTTAAAAGCCCTTTAGGTAGAAACATACTCTAAACTTCCTGTTAGTAGTATGCCTTAATTTAAATCAATTTACATTTATTAACTGCACTTTTATGTAAAGACATTTCRTTTTATAGTGTTCCTAAGTTATTGCATTGCACAATGGTCTGTAAAAGACATTTGCTACACATTTCACTTATTAGAAAAAATGCGAACAGTCTGCACTAGGAAAAAGAATCCAGGAAAATCAGCTTTGAAAATATACTTTATTACATAACCTGTATTCATAAACTCCAACAAAGCTATGAACACATAAGGAATGAGGGTTAAGTCCCACAACTTTACACCACATTCTCATTTTACTAAAACATAATAAAACACCCAAAAATGATAATAAAAAAAGTATTTTACAGTGCCTGGTTGTTCCACAGAACATGAAAATAACCATGAACACAATTTAATTTTCTCCTTAAACAGTGTAGAAGTGGAGCAGTGTAGAAATCTTGAGGGACCAATATAATGTTTACTAACTATACAAACAAAAMACCAGTTTTAAAATCAATGCATTATTATAACTATTGTCTATATTTTAGAGGAGTTTGGAGAAAGCTGGGAAGCGGTTTACTTGTGTGTGATGCCATGTCGCTGAACAAGACTGCAGCCTTATTTAACATGAAGCGGGACAGGCGGCTCTTCAAATCTTGATTGGGACGGACGAGGTTACCTGGTAAATCATCTCAGCAGGTTTGTTGGATCCATCCTCGACGATGAAGCAGTCGTCGTCGTCCTCCTCTCCTGTTTTCTTATTACCAGGAACTTTACCAGGAACCGGAGCCTTGCCTTTGTCCAAACCGACGGCCAGCTGGTTGCTCTTTGTGCCAACGGAGGGGGGAAACCCCGGCTTCCTCTCGCCGTTTACCTGAGCAGAATTTGGAGCACCCATCGACAACGGGGGTTTGGGTTGGATTTTGCTGCCGATCACATGCTTCGCCATGAACTCCTGAGCTTTGACACACTTGTGCCTCTGAAGTATCTGAGCGGTTCTGAAAGGAAGGTGACAAACTCGACACATGAACTCGCCGTCGCTGCTCAGCGATTCTGAGCTAGTGGGCATCTTTAGCTGCACAGTGGGAGGGATGGAAATCTTGGAACTAAATACGCTGAGGTTTGGACTCTTTGACGACAAAGAGACACTAATGGGAGCTTTGGGTGCAATGGGATTCAGAATCTTAGGCTGAAAAACTGAACCCACGTGAACACTGTTATTGTACGTTCTGATGTTTTTCTGTGCAGAGATAGGACCTGGTCGGCGCACTTTCCTGGCCGCACCCGGAATCAGGTTTTCCAGCTGTAGAGCGGAAGCGGCCTGAAGTGGCTGGGCGAGCAGATTCTTTCTCACATTGTCTTTRATCGGCGACTTGTAGTTTGGTGGTTTCGCGGTGATAAGTTTGAACTTGTGAGTGACTGGGGAGTTACACGAGTGGAAGCGAGGCACTTGCTTTCTCCCGGAGAGCAGCAGACCACAACCGATGCAGCCAGAAACCTTATCTGCGACGTGCAAGTTGTGGTGGGAGACGAGGAGGGCTTTTGACATGAAACCCTGCCCACATTTTCCACAAATGTATGGCTTTTGGAGCTTGCGAATTGTTGGCACCAGTACCACTGGCTGATAAATTGTCCACAGATCCACGGTTGGCGCTCCGACATCCGAGTAAAGGGTCTGCATGCCTTTTGCTGCGGGGAGAGCGTTTGGGAGCAGAGATGCATCAGACAGAGAGGGGGTGGCGACAGGCACTTGTGGAATCTGCACGGTCTGCGGGAGAGCTGAGGATTTGCGTCCTGAAACCGACGGTTTGACTGCATTAGATGGACTCCAGACGATTTCGCCTTTCTGCAGCCTTTTCAGCTTTTCATCCTGCTCCACGAACTTCTCAATTCTGCGCTTCTTTATGGTCATGTGATCGAGAACCTGTTGCCCTGGCTGGTGCGTGGTGCTGTGCTCCAGCATGCCTTTGTACTCGGTGAACTCCGTTCCACAAGAGCAGATGAAACTCGCGGAGGGACACAGGTGGTCCTCCAGACACTTTCGATTCGCAAAGATCTGCTCGCAGCTGAAGCAGAGGTGTCCGCTGCCCTTCAGGCTCGCGGGGACGCCAACCTCCAGGAAGCTCTGCAAAATCTGACTTCCGCTCTTCATGGTCAGGCTGGGCATGGGTGTGTGGTCACTGCTGATGTTGAGCCCTCTAGAGCACTTTCACTGCGAAAAGACACAAACCAAGAGCAGAAATATTAAAAGGGTTGAACATTGTTACAAGGACAAACACAGTGACAAAACAATGCACCACGAAGCAAATAAACAGGACTTCCTCCAGGGCTGCATGATATATGCWATAGACAGTAGAAACAATATGAAGTTGGCCTACGGTAGAAATTTACCTTCTACTGTCCTGTCGTCAATTACATGATGTCAACAGGGCTGCAAGTGCAGAGACAACTGAGCAGGAGGAGTTTGGAATATAATGAATGATAAGAGTTTTAAAACACGTATATGGAGAATAAATTCTCAGGATTTCACCCTCCTGCTGTAGAAAAGTTACGTTGTGTTACGGGACGCGAGATCATTTCCTCCCTCCCGATGCACGTCGCACAGAGCGGAGCATTAACTGTGGTTTTTTTCACACCCAAGTTGTCGGAGAAAAAAAAACTTTTGTTTTGTTTTGTTACCCACAGAGATGACAAAAAAAAAAAAAGATGGACATTCGTTCAGTCATAAATCCATCTTGCTAATGTAACTGTTTTTTTTTGTAAACTAAAGATTATTTTGGATTGAATTTATTTGAGAAAAAGGGGCAGAAATATAAATTTTTCTTGTGCTACCTTTCATTTAATTTACGATTTGTATTTTTGTTGTTTGTTGAATTTATGTTGTTTTTAAAGAAAATGAAAATCGGCTTCTGCTCTGATGATGATGATGAGCGCAGCAGAGGGTCAGTTCAACAGGCAGAAGCTTCACTGTATGGCAGGCAGATATTGCATTTATTTGGCTTCACCACACTTAAATTCCAGTTATCTGAGATTGTTTTACGACAGGACTACATGCACGCTGAAGCCCCTTAAGGTCCTGTCACACTGTAACTTTTTAGGCAACTTAGAATTTCTTTTATGTCTAAATGWCTAATTTTACTTGAAGTACTGGTTATAATATTCACTTTATTTTGATAATGTTGAAAATTTGAGAAATGTTTTTGTTTGATGAAACTGTTTTGCAATATATATAAAACATTATTTTTTACTTATGTTTATGTGCACTACAGTAAAAATTCTGGGTTTGATTATTATTAGTTTTCTGGGAAAAAACCCCTCTAAAAATTACATTATCTTTGCTTTTTATGATAATTTTCTACCGCAATATATATATACTGTTACCGTGAAGGGATTCAATTTACACCGTGATATGAATTTGAGGTCATACTGCCCAGTGCTAACTCCCTCTATTAAAAAAAWGATTTATATGTTAGTTAGTGAGTGGCTTTTTTTATTATTACTTTAATCAGAACCTTAGCATTAACTTCTTAAACCACAGGGAGTTCCTGCTAACCGCTGAGGTAAAGTTGGTACTATGTTTGCACAGGAACAAAGTGATAATTGCCTACATATAAACAAAGCATTGCTACAATGGCTAAAACACAGTAGTGAAGCTCTAGATCTTTCTTTAAAATCATCAGACAATGAAAAGTCAGTTTGCATAAAAAGGAAGTTCCCTTTTGTCATCACTTCCTTTTTGATTTTAGCCAAGCTAAAAAAAAAAAATAAATAAATAAAATCATGTGTTTGATGCCAATTTTCTTAAATATTGACAGTTTCTTTCACTTTTTGAATTAGTAGGAAATGCGTGTTACAGGCACTTTTAACAGATATGGATCCAAAAATCAAAGGTCAWGGTCAGGTTTGGATCTCAGGTCTAGAAATTTGGCAAACATCTGTCCACATGTGGGCAGCTGTGGCGGAGTTTTTAGYGGAGTCGTCCTMRAACCGGAGGGTTGTCGGTTTGACCCCTCATTCCAGCAGTTTCAATCTTTATGTCCTTGGGCAAGACACTTCACCCGCCTTGCCTGCTGATGGTGGTCTGAGGGTCCAGTGGCACCAGCGCATGGCAGCCCCCCCCGGTCAGTGTTCCTCAGGGTAGCTGTGGCTGCAATGTAGCTTAACTACAATCAGCGTGTGAATGACTAAATGGCTTTGGGGTCCCATATGGAGCTTGATAAAGCTCTACAAGTTCAGCCCATTTACACTTAAACTACAAATATTATTAATATTATGAATAATACAATTGCATCTTGAAAATGGGAGTCGACATAAGGTGGACACAAAGTAGGTCAAGGCAAGTGCAAGAAACCTTTAGCAGGAAGAAATAGATGCATAATACAACAAAAAACTGCATTATTACAAAGGTGAAAGTGTAAATCAACCTAGAGCTGCATGCATATATATATATGCAAATATTTAATAAAAAGGTCCTAGTTTATAAAAGGACACCTGCCTTTTCTTTTCCTATACATGTTAACAGGATTATGTTAAAAGAAAAATAAAATAAACTACACAGTATTCTGATCTTAGTCACGTTATAAGGACAGGGAGACAAATGTAGCAAAATTTCTCTTAAGTTTACAAGGCATCACCTTCCGACATTATGATGCTGCTGCTAGCCTGCGGGTATCAGGGCCTGTTTGYAGGCAGATAAAAAACTCAAAGTTTAACTGCGGAAGATGTTCATGGACTTCAGATTTGTTCATTTTTGCAAAGCTTTAGACAAATGTACATTCCACATAAATATATYAATAAATCCTTCTTCCTCGATTATTTCCTACCACTACCCTATTTCTCAAGAGTATTACTCAGCATTACAAATTAACGACTGTTTTCTAGCAACAATCTAAATCATTTAACCGTATAAAGCACTGAAACTGTTTTACTGATCAATTAAGYCTTGTGTTGGACCGACGAAGAACGTGCATGCTAAGCTAAGTAAGATTTGTGTAGCGCTTCACTAAAAAAAAAAATAATAATAATAACGTACGATTCTACTACGAAACAGCCATTGAACAATGAAAGACAAGTCAAGAATGTACCTTCCTCTAAAAGTATTGAGAAAAACGCTTTAGTGCGTTTCTTTTATTTTGCCCACGTTTCGGTAAACGCGGGCTTGTCTAGTTGCTACCGCACTAGCATAGCATGCTAAGGCTAGTCCTAGCTAGCTCAACGACGTTCTACCGTCAACTTACCGTCACGTCAAAAGTGAAAGCGGATTACAGCTGTGACATTGCCTAAGAACAACGTTAAGAGGTTCCCCTCTGTCGTTTGGTGACACATTCACCTCTGCACAAACTCGCCGGTGTTTTTAGCACAWACAGGGATCAATCAGCGTTCCAATCATCTTAAATAATAATGAGGGAAATCGTCTTTTCTTCTACGGAGCGCGCCTTTAGCCAGAACAACATCCGGGGATGTTGCCTTGTACCGCCACCTATCGGCTGAAGGTGCATTTTAGTACTGAATGCTCATGTAGAAATTAAAAAAAATTCTAATAGAATTGCTGATAGGGGGGAAAAAAAGGCCTGGATGGCACCAAGTGTTACATAGATGTTTACCAAATTAAAATATTGTTAAATGCGTTTTATTTAAAGGTCTGA